ATTAGTAGAAGAAAGTTTTTTTGAATCGAGACTTAGATCGATAATGACAACAAAACTTTAACTTTTGAAATGGGGAATTTACTTACCTGCTTTAAAACAAGCAAAGATAAACAGCCTACTGTAACCAAGATCGCTGCAGAAGTTCTATTTGAGAAATACTGTCAAAAAATCGAGAAAATCCAGTCTGAGAGAATCAAGAATTTGAGCATCAAGAAATGGAGCAGCGCGTCCCCACGGCTGTTGTTTAACATCCCACATGGAGGTGAGAGGAATAAGAAATGTAAAGACATTGACATGGGATTGTGCGCTTCCACATGGTCGGCCTTTTTTGGTAGCTGTGATGACGATGGGACGTCAGTGAAAAAAGTTGCAACAACAAAACTAATAGAGGTCAAGTCTATTAATATTGATAGTACTGAAGTATTGGTCATAGACAGACGACTGCCAACATCGAGGCCAGTTGACAGGGCTTCCATCCCTGATGTGGATGATGACGCAGACAAACTGCTCAAGGAAATTGATGAAATGATTACTGGGCCTCAGAAGTCAGAAGCAGGGAAAGTTGCACAGCTGAATAAGAAACACGAACAAGTTGCAAGTAAGGAAAAATATATATTGCTAAATTACTCTTTTATAAAACAATGAATATAAAATCTAATAAGCTTACTATAAACTTGAAACACAATGTTTAAAACCCTTAGTCTTTTATAATCGTTTTTTATTGGTGGAAATTGCCGTTGGTAAAATATTCTGCATGCTAAAGTCAGGCAAATACATCTCAAGTTCATTAATTTGTTTAATCTTGTAGATTTGGATTTGGTGTCTGTGGATTCGTACATCAAAGAAAACAAGGAATCCAACCTATCTGGTTATAATGACGACGAAGACAAGTTGATTCAAGAAATTCTGAAGCACGAAGAGATCAACGAAAGGAAGACAGCAGCACGCGAAGACGAAGCTGAGCTTACAGGGGAGCTATGTTTAGTAGGAACTGCTATTAAACATTCAGGTAACGATTRAAAAAGTCGCAGAAAAATACACAAATTCCAACGATTTCCTGTGAACATTGAAGTCGCGATGCAACGGTTTGTGCTGTAAACATATTGATTTTGCTAATTGTAAAGCAAATTATGAATTAAACTAAAAAACCAAAAATTCGTAGATGTTTGATGCAAGATATAATTAGTGCCAATTAGTGGATGCCTATTAGTAGGGCAAAAAGTTAAATTTCTTTCCATATTGTGTCATCTTGTAGAAATGGTGTCMGTAGATTCGTGCGTCAAGCAAGATTCAWKTGAGTCCACCATCACTCGTTATGATGAAGAAGAAGAGAAGTTGATYCAAGAAATCCTGAAGGACGAAGAGATTAGTGTAAAGAAGACAACAGCGCGCGATGTAGAAACAACTATCAAACAAGGACGACATGAGCACAAAGTAGGACCAAATACTGACCTCATCCAAGAAGAACAGCTTGCTAACCCTCCTACAAACATGCAAGACTTGCTTGAAACAGGTTTTGGCCATGGGCCGAGCATTCCTGAAGACATATTGAGAGCCAATAAACTGATCAAAGATCTTGATGATATTTTGGAGAAGAACAAAAGGAAAGATCCAGAACAAACGAGGATGTTTGGAAAARTGCAAGGTACGTACTGCCGGACAAAAAAAAGGTTTTTTTAAAATGGAACTTTTTACAAGAGCCCTGGAGGGATCAATCTCGTACTCAGAGCCCACACTTTTGCCATCCAGCGGATGTCAATGCGTGAGAGACTCTGGAGGAAACAATTTTTTCTCGATTCGTGATTAGTTGAAAATGACGCGAGCGCGCATTGTTTTCAAATCGGTTTTTCAGGTCGTCAGCGCGCGCTCGCCTGTTTGATCAAAAATATCATACTTTTATCGCATAACCACACATGTTTTCACACATTTGTGTTTTTTAAAAGGTGTCAATACTGTTCCTAAACTAAGTTGTGTGCTAAACCTTCTTCTTTTTTGTAATTTTGATGCTCTAAAGCGGCAAAAACAAAACTTACCTAATTTGCATAATTTGCGACGGAAAAGCGTCGCAAATCCAGTCGATTCCTCCAGAGTCTTTCCGGCGTCAGCATACCGCTGACATTAGCCGTGAAGACTCTGGGCTCGAGATTGTGGAGGGATCTGTCAGCGCATAAAGCCTGCTGATTTTCATTCTTTTCAGAAATGTTTGTCGATGTATAATATATACAAGAGCAATTTAAACTAAGTATAGCTTCATGTATACAATGTATACTTTATACTTCATATTTTTCAGGCTCAGCATCGTCAGCCAATTCCTCGGCAAACTTGATCAAAAGACGAGAGCCCACCATGACCACGTATAGTGAGGGTGAAACTGACTTAATGGATGAAATTTTAAGAGAGGAGGAGGCAAAAGGAGAAAGCTTAATCATAAAGGACCCTGACGATATCCTTCTACATAGAAGAATTCCTCGTCCTAAAACTCGCAACGACTTCCTCTACGTTGTCCACCACTCTAGCTCGCAATTGGTCTACATGTCGCTTCCACACCATACCATTCACACTAACTTGATACAGTACTGGACCAAGAGATTTGATAATCCCACCAGGACACCACTTGGCACCTTTGAGAAAGTTCCTTACCCACACCTTCTGTCCTTCTCTGAAGACTTTCATAGGCTTATTGACATCCATGAGGATCTTTTGATTAACTCTTCGCCTCATGTTCGGCTTTAGCAGGTCAAGTCTAGTTTTGAGGTTTCTTCCCAGTAGTAGTTGTGCTGGACTTTGTCCGGTGGTAGAATGTGGAGCTGTCCTGTACGCCATTAGGAACCGATCAAGCTTGTACTGAAGCTCTCTGTTGGTTTGATCTGCCTTGACCGCTCGCTTGAAGCTTTGTACAAAACGTTCAGCAAGTCCGTTGGTGGATGGGTGATAGGTAGCTCCCATCACATGTTTGATACCGTTCACATTCATGAAGTTCTTGAACTCGGCAGATGTGAACTGAGGGCCGTTATCTGATACTACCTGTTCAGGTATTCCCATTCTGGCAAACAGTGTTCGGAGTGTTTTCACTGTCTCTTCAGCTGTGATGTTCTTCATCAAGAACACTTCAGGCCATTTACTATGGGCATCCTCCACAACCANGAGGTAGTGAGTATGAGTGAATATATAGAGGGCCACAAGTTTATTAGTCTAGACACTATTACGTGGTACCCTCTAAAAATTAAAGACTTTATGGCGCGCGCTATACCTGTGTCAGTCGGGCAACTTTGAAAAAGGTACATAAACATGGTGAACGCTTTCTTGAGAGTCTTTTATCTTTTGTATTCATTTGCGTGTGTTTTACTCTTTATACAAATAATGAAAAAAGATTTTTGTATACAGATGAAACTGTGCAAAAATAGTCCAAGTTAGAGTAAGTTTAAGAACTTGCTTCGGGATAAATACAAGCCCTGATGAAATTATTCTATTCGAAGGTGATCGAAATTTTTTACTAAAATTGGCGCGTTTCTCTAGGTTGATTTGAGGTATCCTGGCAATTTTTAAAGGCGGAATTACATTCCTATTCTTTTCACAATTATATAAGATTTTACGTTAGCTAGGTTTCCATTCTGGGCACGTCCCCGGTTCTTTGAGAAATAATTTTAAACAAATCAAAATTGATAATATCCCAAGTTGTGTTTAGTTCAGATGACTATCTTCTAAGAACTTGAAGCTGCTCAAAAATTTTAAAATCTTACAAAAGAATGTATAGATGGTGGGGAAAGCATTCCCCACAATATCAAACAAACATTAACAAGCAATAGGAAATACAGCAAGAAAAACCTCCAAAAATTGTACACTTAATTTTATCGAGAATTTCCATTTACTAGGCAAATCAAGCAAAAATGAAAAGAAACATATTTAGTCTGTGGAAAAATCGAAACTAATTAGTGTTTTAACGATAAGCGATTAATTTCTTTTGATGAAGAAAGATATTTTTTTCCCATGACACATTGCAAACCGATTCAAAATGGTGGGCTTGTACTATGCACTATAGCCTGCACAACTATTGATTGAGAGAAAGAAAACGAATGCGCAACCTTTTATGTTATCGGTGCGAGCACTTAGCACAATGCGGATTACCTGCTGTGGTAATATATCACTACCCGGTGACTTGCGGGACCTTACAAACATAAAAGACCTTACAAACATAAAAGAGAGCACGAGAAAATGTCGTTTTTACAATAGACTCGAAAATTTGCATTTTCCCCGAGTTGAGACTAACCCTGTATTCCCATGAGACCTAAGGTATGAGCCTTCTGGGAATACAAGGCTAGCCTCAACTCGGGGAAAATGTAAATTGTTAGCGCTATTATACAAGCAACATTTTCTCGTGCTTTCTTTTATGTTTGGTAAGTTCTTTGCGTAAGAGAATCTGCTGTCAAATAAAACAGCGGTTATTCGCTCTGAATTCGAAACTGGAGTATTACGGGATAGTAATGTAATGCCACAGGTAATCCACAAAACGCACGCGGCAATACGATATTAAGTATGCACAGCTCCTTCTTTTCTTCTCTCAAGCAATAGTTAATGGGCATTCTATGCGGTGAACAGTATTTTTCAATATTTTTGGTCCGAAGTATTCTTGCCTTTGTGCATGCTCGTAATATAGTTGTTGACGTAGATTAGAGCGCGCGAAATTAATGACGCCACAGCATAGTATTGTGACGTTTCAAATTAGTAGAAGAAAGTTTTTTTGAATCGAGACTTAGATCGATAATGACAACAAAACTTTAACTTTTGAAATGGGGAATTTACTTACCTGCTTTAAAACAAGCAAAGATAAACAGCCTACTGTAACCAAGATCGCTGCAGAAGTTCTATTTGAGAAATACTGTCAAAAAATCGAGAAAATCCAGTCTGAGAGAATCAAGAATTT